AAAGAAAGAAAGAAAGAAAGAAAGAAAGAAAGAAAGAAAGCAAGCAAGCAACCCCTAGAGGAAATGACCATGCATATAATCCCTCTCCTCCATTCTTTCAGAAATTTGGGCACACATGCACATGTGTGGTGTGTTTTTCTTTTGTTTTTGCCATAGGGCATGCCACTTAGGTACATGCGCTCACCAGAGAAAGACAGAGAGAGAGAGTGAGAGTGGGAGAGTGAGAAATCACCCCCAGGAGGGATGGCCACTTCACAATCCCTTCTCCATGCTCTTAGGATTTTAAAAATGTATGCACACATGCGTGGAGTGATTTTCAAGCCACCAGATCCAGAATTCAACCATGAAGTGGGCCATATGGGATCTAGCCACCTTAACCTCCACACCATCTGTAGGGCTCCCAGTGTGGTTTTTCAAGCTGATGGGTCCAGAACTTGAACTGTACAGTCAGCCATGTGGGATCCAGCTGCCTTAACCTCTATGCCTTCTGCTAGCCTCACCAACACATACATAGTGATTTTACTCTCTCTTTTTTTTTTAAATTGCCAGAGTGCATGTGCACTCACCAGAGAGAGAAAGAGAGAGAGAGAGAGAGAGAGAGAGAGACAGAGACAGAGACAGAGATAGGAAGATAGAGAACTCTGCAATCTTTCCTCTTTCCTTTCTTTCTTTTTCTTTCTTTCTTTCTCTCTCCTTTTTTTTCTTTCTTCCTTTCTTTCTTTCTTCTTCTTCTTCTTTTTTTTTTTTTTTTTTGACCATGCACTTGCCAGAGTGACAGAGCGACAGAAAGCAATAGATTACCCCCTGGGGGAATGGCCACGCTGCAATCTCTTCTCCATTCTCCTCTCAGGATCTTGGGCACGCACGCACAAGTGCCTGGCGTGAGTTTGAAGCCAACGGGTCTGCTATGCCATCTGCTGATCCCATCTTTCCTTCTCTTTTCCTTCCTTCCTTCCTCTTTTTCCTTCTTTCTTTCTCCTTCCTTCCTTCCTTCCTTCTTTTCTTTCTTTCTTTCTTTCTTTCTTTCTTTCTTTCTTTCTTTCTTTCTTTCTTTCTCTTTCTTTTATTTTCTTTTTCTTTCTTTCTTTTATTTTCTTTTTCTTTCTTTCTCCTCTCTCTCTTTCTTCTTTGTCTTTCTTTCTTTTTCTTTCCATTCTCCTCTCTTGATTTTGGGCACACACGCACATGTGCCCAACATGAGTTTTAAGCTGCTGGGTCCAGGACTTGAACTGCATTCAACTACGTGGGAGTCCAGTGATGTATCCATGACACATCTGCTGGCCCCCCGAAAATTATTTATTGGGGCCAGCAGATGTTATAGTCGTTATGACACTGGATTCTTACATGGTCAACTTTAGTTCAAGTCCTGGACCTCAAAGCTTGAAAATCACACTGGGTATATATGCATGCATGCTCAAAATCCCAGGAGGAGAATGGAGGAGAAGGGATTGCAGCATGGCCATCCCCCCTGATGAGCAATTTCTTTCTTTTTGTTTTAAGAGAGGTTTTGGCTATAGGGTATGTGTGCTTGCCAGAGAGACAGAGAGACAGAGAGACAGAAATCACCCCTTGGGGGGGATGGCCATGCTGAAATCCCTTCTCTTCCATTCTCCTCTCAGGATCTTGGGAACGCATGCACATGTGCCTAGTGTGAGTTTTAAGCCACTGGGTCTGGAACATGAACTGTGATCAATTACGTACTGTTATGCCATCTGCTGGTCCCTCATAAGCATTTTTAAATGAACAATTAACTTTTTTTCTCCCTTAAGTTTGGACTTCAATCTTTCCAGAACCCCATTCCTGTACTGATGGGAGAGACTACTAGTTTTCATCCTGGTTTTCCTTAGTGAGTAGAAGGAAGTGTGAATGTAGGTATCAAGGTAGGTGGG